GGGGGGGGTCTTCGATGATGATGATCCAAAGGGCGAGAGGAGGAAGAAAGGCCTGCTGCAACCCAAGGGATGAGAGGCGAAGGCCAAGGAGAGGAAGGAATGGATATAGGACGAATGGACGATGGATGGCTGAATGACGCTAATACCCTCGTGTAACTAAATGAAAGCTCATTAAGGATTATAAATTTTAAATTCTCCCGAAATTTTAGTGTACATTGGATTGCATTGGTTGATTTTTAAATATATCGAGAAATTTTGGTTTCTGGATAAGAGAGAGAGAAGGCAGAAAGCTTAGCAAAATGTGTGAACTTAGGCCGAAAAACCGGGAAAATTCGTATCGGTATCTCCCATCCTATCACCTGAGACCTGACCATACCATAAAATAGCGGCTTTGTTAAGCCACGAAATGCGAATGAGAAATTTATTGTTACTTTATACCATGGTGACCTTTATCGTTCTCGATGTACCTCATCTTCCACACCTTCCACGTTGCCTATAAGATCGATTTTTGTTGTAATTTGAACGAAACCAAAATGAGCCAATAAATATGTATTGGGTTTAACAAACACAATGAAACCAAAATCCAATCAATCGGCATCAATTCTATTGTAACCTAAGGGTTTGATTGGTGAAAAATCTCTACAATCATAGATCTTTATATAAATTAAATTTTTTTTTTTTTAAATAGGAGGGCAATAGAGGAAAGAACAGGAGGGGGGAGGGGAGATTCAGACACGGAGCATTGACTCGACTTGAGAGGCGGTGGACAGGGTAAGTAGCCCCCACTCCACGGGAAAATTGAGGGATCCATTCGGATATTATCAAACGAGATGCGGGCCGGGGTTTCTAGTTCTCGGCCCTACGCAAAACGCGAACGCTAAAAGGTAAAAACCGCGCAACCCTCAGTACGGACGGCCCTTTTCCTTCGTCCTTCGTCTATTCATCTTTTTTTTCCTTTACTTGATATCAGTAATGTTAAATTTATATTTATTAATATTTTAAATAATTATTAAAGTTTAAAAAATTATTTTTTTAATAATTATTAGAATATGGATAATTATAATAAGAAAAGAGTTAATGATTAATTGAGATTGATAGAATGTAGGGAGAAATAGTTGTGGATAATTATTTTTTTAGGAATATATTAAAAATAGTGGTAGTGGGTTATAGGCTTTGGGGGTAAATTATAAGAAAATATCCCATATCTGACTTTCCAAAAAAATGAAAAAACCATATGTTTGAATGGTAGAGAATTGTAAACTGATAGTGGTGGACTTTATAGCAAAAATTTCGCAGAAATTGACATGTATCTAATTTTTTAGAATATGAGAAAATTAATTATCTGAATGATGATAATAGATTGTGGGCTTTAACAATAACTTTTCTATATTAGTAATTAGTTATCCAAAAATAATAAATAATAAAAACAGTGTCTCGATCAGCAGTCAAGCTAGCCAACGAGTTTGCTATTCACAAAACCTCCTAACTGCAATAAGAAACCCCAAATTTACAAAAGGCATAATAATGAAGTAAAACAAGGGTTGCTTGAACGTCCACGGCATTGGTCTGTCTGGTCCATCTCCGCAATAATATTCACAACCCAGTTACATCCGGTTGGCACTTGGCACCAACTGTAGTCTTCTGCTACACAAAACATGGGAATATGGAATGATGGTTAAAGCCAAGCATCCCCGAATGGGGGGAGTAGTGGGCACATTACACATGATCAATTTCATATCGTGTATTGTAGTTTGTTTTTTGCCCATGATGGTTACCCTTTTCTGGTTTTATAACAACCACTTTAACCTTCCCCACATTTGCCCGTTGCTTCACTTAAAATATGCTTCTTGATATGACATCTGCCTGAATCTTCATATGATCATTTATCAGTGGTTATCAGTTATGTTTGTATCTCCCATTAAGTCGTCGTTACCAAATGCATGTGGAAGACAACTAATAGTCGTGTGATATTTTGAAACCCAATTTTGTTTACAGGCAACACCCATACAGTGGAAATTTATGTAATTCACTTGCATCCTCTATTTTCAAAAAAAATAAAAAAGACGTGTATCCTCTATGTATATATAAGAGTATATATTTGAGTGTTGAGGTCCTTGAGGAGGCAACATTTTACATTTGAGATGCTGAGACAAAAGAAGTCATCTTGACATGTCTCCAAGTTTTAAGCATTTTCAATAAAATCAATAGACATTTTTTAAATAATTTTTGTATATTATGATTGATATTTGCAATGTTTTAAAAACTGACTGGAACTGGCCAAAAATCATTGTCCAAAAATTGATTCGGTTCGAACGGATGATCTATTTTAATTTTAAAAAAATAAAAATAATAATAGTAATGGCCAAAAATCATTGTCCAAATCAAATGAATCAATCACTCAAGTCAATATATCGTTGACCAAATCAATGATTTTTGGCCAAAGAATGGATTAAGGGTGAAACAAAACCGAGTCTGAAAACTATGGATATTTGGGATAATTAAGTCATTTTTACTTACACTAAAACAAGTAATTATCTATATCATACAGAGGAAAGAGGGAAGCCAAGATCCCTCACCACACAGACCTCCTTCTCTTATCATTTCTCATATGTGTGGCCATTTATTTTTTAAATTAAATTATTAAAAACATAAGTTGCAATGCTCACTCTTATCTAGTTTTCTCCAATAAAACCCATTGTTACTCTCTCTAATAACATCAATCTTTCGTAAAACCCAACCCTCTCCCTCCAAATGATCAATGTTTTTAACATCTCCTCTCCCCTGTTGAATTCCTCTTTTCCTCTTAATAAATATCTCTTTTATGACTCTCTCCAAAAAACAAATTTAAATATGATGCAAAAACTACACGATAAATCAAAAAAGTAACCATTTACATTAAAGACATCATATGATTTACTTATTTTTAATTGATTCATATTGTACAAATATGTATTTACCAATTATATAAAAAAAGTTAACAACATTAAAAGATGTTACTATAATGTCTCAATTTATCACCTTTTTTTTTTTCTTTGGCTTTTACAGTGCAATTTTTGCACCATATTTTAACGGGTACAAATTAGTTGGGTTGGGTCAAGGGCCAACTCAAAACCAACCATAAATATGGACGCATGAACCTAACTACCCAAGCTAACATTTTTAGTAAAAGTGTCTATACAAGAGGCTTTATATGAGGTTTTGAAATTTTATAATAAGTAGGGTTTAACTATGATACTAGATATGCTTACAACCAATCAACTGATATCATAAAAGGTGATCAATCAGCTAGTGGTTTTTATCAAAATTCATGAGGTGCTTTGATTGGTCAAAACTCTTCTTATACCATCATAAATTTTCTCTAATAAAAAGGAGAGTAACATAAATAAGAGCATTATTAATATTGGTCCTAACTAAGTAGAATCTGACTGAATCGTATTCACATATGCTTGCCGGCCCAAGATTTTACCATTGCACAAAGCAAGCAATGACTTCAATTAATTAAGCACCAAACTGAGGGGGTGTTCAACAACATGTGGTTGGTTTTGTTTTGAAAACAAAATCAACTTGCCACGTCATATGAAACATTTTCATATATATCACACACTTAACAACCCAATTAGTAAACTTGTTCTATACGTACAAGTGAGGTGACCCTTCCACTCAAAAACAAACTGACCCTTTCACTTCTTCTCTCCTACGTTTACATAATCTCTCTCCTTTGTTTTCATTCCATTTTTATTTCCTTGTCACTTGGGAAAAAAATCAATAAAAACACTAAGACTGTGTTTGGTTTGAAGGAAAAAGTAGGAAAAGAAAAGGAAATGCAGGAAAACCTTTACAAATCTTGTATATGTTTCCCTATCTTTCTTTTCTTTTCCTCACCTTTTCCTTCAAACCAAACATAGCCTAAAAAAGGGGATTGGCACCTAATAGCAACGGGTCATTACATGTATTTGTCTAACTGTCTTAGTAGCTTTCGTGTTGGAAAATGCAAACCTTTATATTTGTAATAATATTTTATGCCATAAAAGGCCAGCTTAAATTATTTTTAGCAGTACATTATGGGTCAGCCTCAACTACCAAATTGTTCATACTGGATGCCCTTTTAAAACTGAAATTTAATTAAGCTTTAATTCTTATGAACAAGTGCTAAAAAAAAAAACTTAAATTCTAGTTTATCTTTAAATGGATCCACCAAATGTAAAACCACTAGACTGTTAGGCTATGTTTAGTTTGAAGGAAAAAGTAGGGAAAAGAAAGGAAAGGTAAGAAAACCTATACAAGATTTGTGAAGGTTTTTCTAACTTTCCTTTCATTTCCCTACTTTTCCCTTCAAACCAAATATAGCTTTAAGGAACATGTTTTGCTTGCTTTCTCGAACTTTTTGGCTAGCTCCAATCTCCTACAAGCAAAACTCTATTGGTAGGCATCAGTTGTGCATTGAGAATATTTTCCATGTATGTATGCCAAATTCACGATGAAGAGATGTTTCTAATGTGTGATTGAATTCTCTTGCTTTCCAAGTGTGTGCAGAATTTTTTTTTCTTGGGTTCCCATCGCACTCCTGGCTCATGAAAAACATATGTGGAGATGTTGTGTTTGCGAGGAATAGACATGTTCATCGGCCGGGCCAGGTCGGGCTCGGATCAAGCTTTTACTCTTCATAAACAGGATTTTGTTAGACCCGAGCCCGAGCCCAACCCGAGCCCGAAGCCCGACCTAACAGAAAGATGGCAAAGAGAAAGGACCCACCGTCGATGACTGTGTTTGCCGGTGTTGAGTTCACATCTGAGAGAGAGAGAGAGAGAGAGAGAGAGAGAGGACTCGCTGCCGCCGTCGATGCCTATGTTCACTGCCTCACCGATGCCTGAGTTCGCGTTTGAGATTCTGAGAGAAAAAGTGAGAAGAGGAATGAGAGAGAGAGAGAGAGAGAGAGAGAGAGAAAGAGGGAGAAGACTCGCCACCACAGTCGATGCCTATGTTCGCCGCCTCGCTAGTGCTTGAGTTCGCGTCTGAGATTTTGAGAGAGAAGAAGTGCGAAGAGGAACGAGAGAGAGAGAGAGGACTCACCGCCGATCTGCTAGAGTTCATTGGTTGCGCCACTGAGTGTTCGACTATTGAGAAGAGAACTGAGGTTTGGTTAGAAAGGGATGAATGAGAAGAGAGGGGTTAGGAACTTAGGATATTTAGGGTTTTTGGTTTAACCTAAAAGTCGAGCCGGGTCGAGCTTTTTTAACAAATCCTGAGCCCGGCCCATAAAATAGTCGGGCTTGAGCTTTTAGGCCCGAGGTCAAGCCTACGAACTCAAATCTGTCTTCAAGCCCATCTGGGGGCCGGGCCGGCCTGTCGGGCTACTCGACCCATGAATAGGTCTAGCGAGAAATAGTAAGATAATTGATGCTCAGAAATGATATATACCTTTTCAGGATGCCTTGAACTTTTTTGTCAAGGTTCAATTTGGGAATGGGAATAGTGCAAATACAAATGTGTTCCGTGCAAGACCTTGTATTTGCACTTCTAGCAAACTGAGCCTAAATGAAGGTAGAATTTTGTTCATCAACTGAAATATTTTAGCTATTATTTCTATCTTTTTTACAACAAAAAGCTTGTCTTCTACCCCTTTTATTTATTTATTTATTTACCTGGTTGGTTTGGGGTTTTCGAGTGTGGTGCTATAGGGATGCAAATGGATTGCATTGGAATCATGGTATATCCGAATACAATCCAATAGTATAAATAGTAGATCCTCTCAAATATTAATTTTGTTTAAGGTAAATTTCTTAAATTACCCTTATGGTTTAGCTAATTGACTAAGTGTACCGTTTGAAAATTGACTAACACTATCCTTATTGTTTCTGACAATTAACTAACTCTACCCCTGTCATTAGCATCCCTTAATGCTCCCAATCTATGCACGTGTGACCCCACGTGACCTATACAATTTTTTTAAAAACCAATATTGCCCTCGTATCCTCAGTCCCCACACTCTCTCTTCTAAGACCTCCCCCTCCGCATCAGGAAGCACATCTTCTTTGACAACACCTCTTCTGGTGAGCGGAAGTGGCGGGTTCAGCCTCAAGGATTCACACATGGCTGCATGGAAATACACCAGATCCTTCAGATCTTCTGAATCAAACACCCATGGCTGCTTTTGATCTCTGATGACACCTTTTGCTTCCTTCTTCTTTAACTGCATCAATGATCTTTTCCTCCACGCGAGGGGGTGTGGAAACCAACCAGAGGAACCAAGTGAGAGACGTTCCCGTCAAGTCCCGCCCAACAAACAGGAAGCCCAGTGCAGTGTCTCTGAGGGACAGATCACTGTAAGCTTTGCTTTCTCCATTCTGAGCTTGAGAACTCATGTACATAGCTATCAAATCACTTCCCTGCACCCCTTTGTGCAGCTCTTCTCTTTTCAACGAAATGTGCTCTAACAAGTGACGATTTATGATCTTCCGAGCTCTGGCCAATCTCCCCTCACTCCCGACTACCAACCAACCCAACAGCTTCCTGGGCATGATGTGCCTATGGAACACACCTTCCGTCCTGTCGTCGATGGCTTTAGCAATCTCATTAGCAGCAGAGCTCAAAGAGAGTGAGTTCGGGTTTCTGCCGAGGACAATCATATAGGCACTGTCGAATACAAACCTCATGAACAGATCTTCCAAATCCAAGACATTGCCATGCTTAGCAGCTTGAAGCATCAAGCTCAGGAGTCCATCACCCACCAGCTTCCTGCTCACTCTGGCAGGCAAAATCCGATGTTACGAAAGAGGTTTTTAGGTGCAAAAATGATAGGGATGTAAGTGCTGAAATCACCGAATTTAGTGTTTCTTTCCCCTTTTCTCTGTTTTATTTTGAAACTTTGAAGAAGAATAAATGGTAAAATAGTCTTTTTTTGCCTTTTTGTTAATGGACGTTAACAACAGGTGTAGAATTAGTCAATTGTCAGAAATAATAAGGATAGTGTTAGTCAATTTTAAATCTGAATCCATTTAAAGATGTAGGATATTTGAATATGATTTAATCTGATTTAATTTCTAAAAATTTAAAAAATATAAAGAAAAACAAAAAACACAAACATTTTTTCAACTATATTACACATTATACATATACATGTTTTTCATAAAAAAATAATAAACTACAAAAATATAATATAAACATATCTATAAATTATATGTATGGATCATGATCTAATTCATTTGCACCACTTATTGTGTTGTGCAGCTTCTGCTACTTAACGACTCCTATCGGTGATTCGGGTGTAAGACCAAATACCTCCAAAAAAAATTTATATCTAATTCTAAAAACCATTTTAAATTGAAGCAAAGATTTTGAACCATTCGGCTTTGGGCTACATTAATTATGTAGTGGTCCACTGCCAACCTTACTAGATTATTTTATAGGCGTTATGGGAAATAGATTGCTCCTCCTGCACCTCACAGCAGAGCCGCATATCTGGAACCTCATGTGTTAGGAGCAAATCCGGATTCAGATTATGGTAGTTCTCCTTGATGACCATTTGAGCAATTGGGATTGATTGACTTTAAGCTTTTAGAGGTCAATGCTGTGATGGCTGTGTTCTTTAATTAGTACCAATTTTGCAATACATAGACTTGCCAAAAAGGCCAGTCAGAATCCAAATACAATTTCTAATGAAGAACAAAATATAGAAATAGATGTAGGAGAATAAAAGAACTTCTGCAATCAAACAAAGGTGAAAAATCACAAACAGAATTAGAAAAACACAACTCCAATCCACCATAAACAGCAAGAGAAAAAACAGGAAAGGTTTCTAAAAGAGATTGCAAAGAGCCGGTAATAGTATGGTTGGGGTAGATCCACAAAAGATGATAGAGCCCCAAACATTACAACCGGTATCAGATACTGTAACTGCCTTCCATAACGGCATTCTCCTTGTGAATGGAATTGATCATGAATTGTTTTTGTCAGAGAACCACGATCAAACTTAACTATGGATGGCAAAACGAAAAGCAACACCCACTAGTATCGAAAGCCCAATACAGGATCCAAGAGCAAATGACCCGCTTGTCAAAACGTCTGCAAAAAGAAGAAAAAACAAACAAAAAAGAAAAGAGATGATAAAGGAAAAGGGGGACTCCCCAAAGGGAGTCACCCCAACAAAGAGATTGTTAGAACCTTGAGCAACGCAAGAGAGAAACTCTCTAAAGAGAGAGAGAGGGAGTGGTTGTGCAACTTGCAGAGAGGGAGCGGTTTCAGAAGAAGTGTTCACAACCACAGAGGGAGTGGTTTCAGAAGAAGTGTTCAAAATCAAAGACGGAGCGGTCTAAATTGAACTTTTAGACGGTTTGATAATGAAAAGCCATGGAGTCACAACATATTCCTCCAATGTAACAAATCTGAAGTCTGAACTATTAATTGCTTAATCAGATTGATGATTTCGTAACAGATTACATCAGTAGACTTAGATTAGGTAGGTGTTTGGCATCGGTGCTGGGAATATCATATCTTTTTCTAAGAAAAATGGTGCTAGGCATGTGGAGTTGTAAGCACCGTTTTCTCTTATTTATTTGGAACTGGTGTTGCCATATAGGTGTTTTATGAGAAAACAGCACTGATTTTGTTTGGTACCAGTGCTAGCAGCAATATATTCAACATTGATCTTGTAGGTGTTTGGCATCGGTGCTGGGAATATTACACCATTTTCTCTTATTTTTTGTTTGGAACCGGTGCTGCCACATAGGCGTTTTTTAAGAAAACAACGCTGGTTTTGTTTGGTACCATTGCTAGCAACAACATTTTCAACATTGATTTTATTATCCAACGTCCAAGATGATAACACGTCATTGCATTATTGGTAGCAATGCACCATTTTCTAGAAAACTTCAAATTTGGCGTTGCTCCAGACCACACTTTCTCGATTTCTAAGGCATGATTTGGAGCAACATTTTTCTGAGAAAACGATACTAAAACAAGAGGGTGTTGCTTCCAGCACCGTTTTCTCTGACGTGGTGCCTACATGGCACCGTTTTCTCAGAAAACGGCACCAATGCCAAACACTGCCCTTATTATCCAATGTCCAAGATGAGGTTACATTGATACTACGTTATTGCATTGTTGATAGCAATACACCGTTTTCCTATAAAACATCAAATTTGGCATTTTTCTATACCACACTTTTCTGATTTTTAAGACATGATCTGAAGCAACATTTTTCTAAGAAAATAGTATCAAACAAGAGGGTGTTGCTTCCAACACCGATTTTTCTAATGTGGCGCCAATATGGTACCATTTTCTCAAAAAAAAAAAAAAACCCACAATCGTTATTTTTCATTTACATAAAGGTGATGGTAATTTTGTAGGTGACTTCGGTATTTGTTCTTTGCAAAATTTGGTAATCACACCCTTAAAATTGTGCATTATTGAAAACATCTCCCGATTATAAGTTTATGACACCTGCTTCACTGTTAAGGCTGCCGTGAAGGCCAATTTTGCGAGGAAGAAATCTAATGGTTGTTGATCATAGACTCTGACAGCAGAGTACGACTCCAACGCTAATAGGCATTGGAAATTTGGAATGAATCGGTCTAAAAGCCTCTGTGGTTGTTGTTGTTGTTTGACCAATTCAATCTGGAATTTAACTCCAGGAATCAAAACAAGGCGTTCGTTGACCGTCCTTGTAATTGTAACCAATTTTGAAATTGATTAATTGAAACAGGAAAATACCTCCTCCTCTCCTCTGCCGACTTTTGGAACAGAAACGGGAATTGGGATTAACATATAGCATAGCCCTACTTAATCTTGGCCGGTCAATCAACCATTACCAGTCATTCAGCATCGAAATCCATTGTTTGAATTGACCCTCTAACACAATATATCAGTTGCCTTTCAAGTTTGAACTCATTCTTTCCATGCCCACATATTGTATATCTGGATGCAACTGGGTCTCTCACATTTTGCATTTATAGTGATCATATGGATAATGGAATATAAATGGGGCCATTTTAAGCCTAGCTCTGCCCACGACCTAATTAAGTGATGTCATATGGAATCCAACGCCCATTTTTTACCTCCCAAGAAACCCTATCAGCAGCAGATCTGAATTTAGTTTTTAAATAGATCAGTATGGATTAGTTCAAGTATATAGCTCACCCTATTCTGGATAAGAGTGTTCATTATATGGTTAAGACCATAAAATCAAACCAAATTGAAATTGACAGTTTGGTCTGGTTTGAACTTAGAAATGGTAGTGTGGTTTTGTTTGGGACAATTTCAAATTTTGGTTTACTTTAATACTAGTGAATGATCTCATATTAAGTATCGAGAAGTTAATATATATGAATAAATATTAATGATTTTTATTACTGTTTATAAACCGCCACTTTTCAAGTCCTATGAGTCAACATAAATTGACCCTTATATGTCAAACCCGAAAATTATACAGGTCATTAAATTCAACTTGAAACGTTTATTACTTTAATTTAACCATTATTATTATTATTATTATTATTATTATTATTATTATTATTATTATTATTATTATTTTATTTTAGTATTTAATTTAAAATTTTTGTTATTTAGTAATAATATTAACTAAATTTGTAATTATTTAAATGTTTACTTAAAATATTTTTTTCCAACCAAGTATAATTATTATATAATAGATTTGTTAATTCATATTTTCCATTTAAGAATAAACGTTAATGATTTGGCTTAACAATTTTAATGACTATTAGTAAATATTGATTCTCATTTAAGGTTTAATTACTGTATTTGGTAATTATTATGGGGCATGTTTTGAATAAACATTAATGATAACTGATGATTGTTATTTAGTTTTTTATTATTTACTTAAATAAGTACTTGATGATTGTTATTATTATTAATTATTTCTATAAATAATTGATTGTTATTATTATTTATTTAATTCAGTAATTTTGAATAAGTAATTATTTGATTTAATATGAATTATTTCATTTTTTTAATTATTTATAATAAACATTTAGGGTAGGCTCTTTATTTGATTTAAGAGACTTACCATGCTTTTATCTAGACAATGACCCCATACTATGGGGCAATTACAGTATCATTTAATTTGAAATTTACTATTTAACAATAAAAAATTAATATCCTGTTGAGCAACTAACCCCCAAAAAAGTATCAATAACTTTGAAATCATTCATCTATTTATAAAATAGTAAACTTAGATGGATGTTTACAACAATATCACCAATACTGCTTAATATTTAGGGACATATGAATGGATAAAAAGCATTTATGATATCCATTCAAAGAGCTGTTAAGAAAAACAATCCATGCCAAACAACATTTGCAAATGCATCCATCCCCTAAAATAAGAGATGAAAAATATATGACTACAATCAAATCATCATCATGTATGGCTACAATCAATTGAAAAAATAATTAGGACTCCGAAGCCCATCCAACAGAGGAAACATGAAAGAAAGGAGAATAATGGGACCATCCTAAGTATGGAAGTCACCTCCAAGTTAGGTGGCAACGCTTCTTTTGGTCGATCATGGTTATAGATTTTAAGTCTAAGCTCCCCACAATGGTATGTTTGAATTATGGGAATTGGGAGATAGAAATAGAAAATGTACGTTGAAATTATAATTTTGGGCATGTTGATGTGTCAAATTCAAGTCAACTAGAATACTCATAGATTTTTAGTTCATTCATTTAGTGGTAATTTGAATATTTT